GCCTCCGCGCCCGGCCGCGGGAGGCCCCGGCCGCGGCAGCCGGTTCCGCACGGCGCTCGGGGCTGGCGCTCGCTCGGTTCGCTGTGGAGGCGGCGCTCCTCTAGGTATTTTACACACACATATATATACACGTACTGTCAACGTGCGTTTTTCTCAGGTTCGTGGCGCGCGGTCTTCGTGTTTGCGTTCTGGACACGCSGAAGGGGAAGGGGCCCGAAAGAGGCCCCGCTGGAGCAGCCCTAGGGCTGGGGGAGCGTGKGGGGTTGTTATGGGAGCGCGTTCGGATTCCCTGGCACCGATTGTGTCAGTGACCCGAGGGGAAGGGTCCGTGCGGGGCTGGACGGGCTGGTTTTACCCCTGCCCGCGCGGCTGGCAGCGCCCGCGGGTGCCCGCAGAGCTGCGCCTGGAGTGCGTRGAGCTGAGCTTAGAGCTGAGCCGCCGCCTTTGCCCCCAGCTCCGGGGCGGGCGGCCGCGCTCGCCCCGCGCGGTTTGGCCAGCGGGAGCTCGCGCGCTCCGCGGTCTTGCTGCSGCTCACGCAAGGCGTTCGGTCTAGTAAGGTGGAACAGACTATTCGGGGAAAAATGTATGTGCTGTGTGCGTATGTGTGCGTGCACACTGCGCTTGTGTGTATAGATGTATATTTTATATATATATATATGTACATGCACATAGCAATGCCAAGCGTTGTGCCCGGGCTGGGAGCCGCGGATCCTGTGGTCAAATGTCCTCAGGGTGTCCGTTGGCCAAAGACCACCTAAGAAAATGAGATAGGGTAAAAATTGTGGAAAAATACTATTAATTTAAAATRCCTTCTTGTAGTTACGGTTTTCTTGAAAGATGTGTTTTCCCTCTGCTCTGCTGCGAGAACACAGCGCTTGGCTGCACTGGCAGTAAAAGTTGTTATCTCCTTTTACCAAGATCCTGGGCAAGGAGCCTTGCTCAGCTCTGCAGTTGTTGCCGCGTGGTGAGGTCCTTGTGACCCTTCCGTGCCGCTGGGRCTCCACAGCCAAGTGTCCAGCTTGTCCTCGGCACTCACGGGGGAGAGGGGGAAGAGGAGGCTCCCGAGGTGCAGGGAAACCCCGGGACCAGCCCTTGCCCCATGCGGAGGCTTTGCCGTGGGGGATGCGGTGCCGGCTCTTCCTGCTGTCCGCCCCCGGCCAGACCACTCGCTGCCTTGCTCCTTTGTTCCTCTTCCTTGGGCCCGGGGCTTTTTGAAGCCCCCTTGCCCCGGCTCTGCTRGGAGCAGCTGGATGGAGGAGGAGGATGATGATGGGGGTGATTTCCCTTCCTGGCAGCTGCCTCCTGCTGAGCTTTGCCTGTGTTGAGGCTGCTGCCAGGCCAGGATGGCACCGGTCTGTGAGGATTCCCCGTTAGCATCTTCCCCCGCTTTAAGAGGGAGCCCTTTGCCCTTTTCTATGCCCAGCTCCTCCTCAGCTGGGAAGCGAAGAACAGAGCCCCMATACAAGGGAGATCTTTCCCAAGGACGTGTAGCTGCATTGGGAAAGCGTATCTAGCTGCCCTGAGAAGGACTGAGCATTGTCGTGCAAGAAAATAAGGAAGCATAAGGTAACCTGGAATTATTTTGACCCGGGGGAAAGCTGCGTAGGAGAGGATGACTGCTGCTGTGTGCTTGCACATCGTGCCCGGTGTTCCAGGGTGTGAATGTGCCCCAAGCAATTAATAACTGCAAAGCAATTATGAAATTTCATACCTGTCTCCTCCATCCTTGCTTGCCCACCTTCCAACGCAGGTTCATTCGACAACTGTTTTCTCTGGCTTTTGATGCCATCTCTTGCAAGGCTTCTGTTTCTGTCTGTTTGCAGGAAAACATCAACATCTGTAGAACCAGATTGGAGCCCTTCCTAGATGAGGATGGTTGGAGAAGAGAGCTGTTAAAAACATTGCTTTGCTTTTAGTAAATTAGCCTAACAAATTAATCCGTGCTCATAATCCCTGGCTCCTTGTTCAGGAAGATGTCCAGGCCATTGGGAGGGCGGCAGGAGTGCTACGGTACTGCTCAGCTGTGCTGGCTCCGGGATGATTCCCTTCTGGTGCTTCCTGTGGATCCTGCAGCAGGCTGGGAGGACGGGATTTCCCTTTGGAGGGATCCGTTGATGAGCTATAAACAGTGACCGCCGCTCACAGAGCTCAGGGCTTCCCTCGAGCGCGGCGCTTGCGTTCGGCCTCGCTCCCCGCACTGCTGCTGCACAACGAGCACAGCCCGTCCGGCACCGTGGCATGCGGAGCCCAGTGCCCTCCGAAACAAGGGCGCTTCCCATCCGTGCTGATGAATTCCGGTGGCCTTCGGGGCCTTGGAATGGAAACGCCTGTGGTGGTTGTTGGTCCTCACCCCGAGGAGGTGTGGGGTCATTTGCCCGTGCAGGAAAAGGAGCTCCGCACACTGGGGCCATCTGTTCCCAAAGGAAACCAAAAGGCAATTGTGGTTGAATCTCTCCCGAGATGAGCGTCTCCTCCTGCCAGAAAGTCTGTCCCATGCAGGAGAAGTCCCTCTTTCAACCTGGAAAAGGAGTTATTGGCGTCTCCTGTGGAGCCGCATTGCCCCTCTTCCCCATCTCTTACCTGAACCGGTTTCCCTCCGGTTTGGTTTTATCCCTGGCTTGGTCAGTGCTGTTGCTGCCGTGAGAGATGGACACACAGGGCAGTTCGGGCTCCGTCAGGATTCCCRTGCGAACCTGCTTGCGAGTTACTCCCAACGCGGCACCTCGCTTGTTGTGCTTGTGCTCCGTGTTCCTTTAACCCCTCTTTTTGGCAGGGAGCCTCTTTGCCCGCTCTTGGCTGCGCTCCGGAGCCGCGGGAGCGCCATCCCTTCCCAAGGGAGCGGCGCTTCCCGGCCGCACGGTCCTGTCCCGGGCCGGCCGGCAGCTCCGCGGAGGCTTCACTCTTCAGACCTGCGTGACGGGTGTGCTGGGTGTCTGCGAGGGGCCTCTTGCCTTTCCCCAGGGAGACAACGGCGTTAATGGCACCCAGCAAAGACCAGACAGATGGGGCCTGTCCCCGCCGGGGGCAAAGACTTGCTTGCTCTTTGTTTCAACTGCTGCGCTCTCATTTCAGGGCATCTCTCAACTTTCTTGCTGAACAGCAAGAATCCGGCTCAGGGCACGTCTCTGGAGAGGCGAGTGACGTGTCTGGATGTTCTGTTTCGACACATACTAAGTTACTGGCATGAGAGGCTTCCTTTTTGTCTGTATTTCTAGGTGTCTTATGCCTTTCAGCCTGCAGTGAGGCTAAAGCCAGTCCCTTTGGCTGAACAGATCCTCCTTCCCTCGTGGCTGGGATCTCTTATCTTTAGGTGGAGTGTTTGCTCAACATGTTTGATACAGCTGATCTCATGCTCTGCAAACGCCACGAAGGTCGCAGTGCGGGACACGCACGGCAGCAGTTTGCCTTTGCCACTATTTGCTTTTCTGTGGAATAACAATAAAAAAGTTGCATTCTCTCCTTCAAAGGTGCAGATTTGGTTGCTGTCAGGCTTGGCTCAGCCTCTTGGAAAGGCTGGTGGCAAGGGTGGGATTCGCCGTGGGAAGCAGTTAGCTGGGAAGGAGCTTGGTGGGGCCATCCTGCCAGCAAACACGGGCCCAGCACCGGGCTCCGCTTTGGGGCTCGGCCAGAGGCCGCTCGGGTGGGCTTTGCAGGGGCAGTTTGTTGTTTAACCGCTCGGGGCTCCACCCCTTTGGAGGATCTGG